AATTATAATAAAAATTCACGACAATAGGCATATATATATATATGTAATATAGTCGAACGGCCGTTTTATAATAAGCATTAGATTAAAATGTATATCGCGCGAGCGGCAGCTTTTCACCTCGATCAAAGCATCGGGGAAAGCATCCCCACGATCTCTCTCGACGACCTCTATCTCCACACCCACTAGAAGACGTTGCTCCCGGTGCTTTTCGCTCGATGGTTCGAGGAGGAGGCGGGGCGGACCGTGATGATACGGGACTGGGGTGTGAGTTGTGGGGTGTGGGGTGTGGATACGATGAGGAGGAGAATAGAAAGAGGAGGGGGATTGGTAGCATCGGCGGTCGGCGAAGGTCCCGGGGTGCGTCCGTTAGGGCTTGCGCGAGTGAAAGGCCGGCGGATCGAGTGAGGAGCGACCGGGAGAGACCGGCGAACGAGTCTCGAGATAATAATTGTCGCGGGGCTCGTGCCGCGGCGGCGGGGGGACCGGATCACGCGCTTCCGCGTGAAAGCGCGAATTTCCGCCGCCTGCGCGGGTAATTCATTCGGCCCAGGAATCGGCGCGAGCCTCTGCCGACGAGCCACTGCGGCCGGTCGTTAAGCGATAAGTGGCTCCGATTATGTAAATCCTTTTATCGAGCGAGTTGGCCGTTAGGATTTAAATGTGACTCGGTATATCTCGTGCACCACTCTCGTGGCAAATCAAATCCTGCCGTTTCCTCTGCCTCTCCGGGGCCTCCGGGCTGAAGGTTAAGTGAAAACGAATTCTAAAGGACATTGTCGATGCGCTGATTTAGTTATTCACTTGACATATTAACGATTGTAGTTTGATGACATTTGCCGTGGACGTGAGTCACGGATATTTCATGATCGAGGCTCGAATAAGAATCTTAAAAATTGCCGTTTTCTACTTCTCTTTGATGATTTTGTGGTTTATAACGTTTGCTTAGTGTATGAATTTATTTAGATAGTGAAATTGCATGGCACGTCGTATAATTGGTATTCACCGGTTAATGAATTATGCTTCCAGAGCAGGAAAAAAAAGAAACTTTAAAAAAAGAAACTAATAATTTCATCATTTTAATTTGGGACATGATATTTTGACCTTAAATAATTCTAATGATTGTTCGTGAAATTTTAATTCTAACGCAGTTGTTTTTCCAATAGACTTCTGCAAATTGGCGTCTTGAATGGCAAAAAATGCTCTACTTAAGTGGAACTGTAAAAGTAAGTCTTGGCAGGTTCGTTAAGTTAAGCATTACATCGAATATCGTTTTCGCTAATTTTCTACGCTCGTTAAATTAGAATTCAGCTCCTTGAATAAATAGTGACATTAAGAAAATTGACTAGACATGTCTGTCGAATAGTTTTGATTATAATTTCTCGGCCTTGTAGCTCTTATCAACTATCCAAGGACTTTCCGCTATTGACCTTAAGAATACCGCATAATAAGAAATATTTTACAAAAAATCCAGAACACGCGGCTTTACACATTACCTTTGACAATTCAATTTGTCCGAAAGCATTTATATCGAAGTATTAATTACTCATTTTACGTACGGAATTTTTACAGACCTCACATTGCTATTGCCGAGACTTGGAAGTAAAGGAATCGCGCGATTTGCTTTATTTATGAATTTGAATTGGAGTTATGAATGGGGGTGGTGATCGCAAAACTTTTTCGCGAATGATAGTAGCGTCCAATGAAGTAGCGAATGAAGTAAACGAGAGAGGCGAGTGTCTTATTATGTTTTGGCTCGGTATAGGCTAATAGTCTCCGAGGGTTAAGTGATTAGATTTTGCTTAAGAAATCCAAGTTAATTTGGCAGTTTGAATTAGTCGATCGTCCTACACCCCCTCGCCATCGCGTTCTCGAAGAGATATTCCGAAAGTTCTTCCACGCATTATTGCCTATGAGCATCAACGTATTTTTCAATTTTCATGGCGCTTAGGCTACTTACGAGATGCATTTTATTTTTAATAAAGTGCCCTCTCATCGGCCACAATAAACGTATGTTTTTGAAAGAAAACATCGAAGCTTGCTTGGAGCTAATGAATTGGCAATGATATTTACGTTTTTCTTATTTAAAAAAAAAAAAAAAAAAAAAAGAACAGCCCTAGAATGCGAAAACAATTAAAGCAATTAAACCACCCCCTCACCTCTTCGCCGGATTAGTAAATGATGATGGACATGATTGAGGAGCGAGATGAAACGTTAAATGAGAATGAAATTGCATCCACGGCTACTTTTCGTAAAACTCACTCTCGGACCACGACACCGTACCCAATAATGAACTTTAACATCACAATTTACCATTAGTCCATTTTTAGTTAACTTTTAACAAATGCCTCATCAATACGTGTACGCGGAACGTCTCGCCGCTCACTTCGAAAACACGTCTTTCTGCCGATTTACAAAAGAATCCGTACTAATACTCGAATAACCGACGCGTGTTTTTTAGATGGATGAAGTGGCGGCTATCGGGTCTCGGTAATCGCCGGGTTGGGGTGGGGATTGCAGTATGGCACGGGTGGAGGTGGAGGTGGAGGCGAAGTAGGCGATGAGTCGCGTGGACCTCTGGCGGGCGATCACGTGACGCGGAAACAACGCCGGCAGGGAAGTTGATTCTCGCTGTGCTCGAGAGGCGCGACAGCCTCGACCGTGACCGGAAACGAATCCATTGTTGGGGCATTTTTAATTTTTGAGCGGTTATTACGCTACTTTTTCACGACTAACGGATGTTTGTTGTTAATCGTTTCGAGCTCTCATTTGTTGCTGTTACTCACGTTCTTAATAAAGCAAGAGTCACTCGGGTCTCTCGGCGCTCTCGCTTCTCTCCTTTAAATCACAAATTCATTTGAAGTTTATAATGCATAATTTGAAAACCAATTGAAGCTCCTTAAATTCGCTTTGCGCTCTATTATAATCTTGCACAGCTATTTTTTTTTTCACGTTAATTTGATTGTAATCGCGAAAATGAAGAAGAAAGTTTGAGAGAAACACTTGAAAAACCTCCGTTCACGAACCTTAAACCTATGTAGTTCGTTTTAATTAGACATTATATATATATATATATATATATATATATATATAAATTTAAATAAAATGGATCAACGGTATTTTGTATAGTTTAAGATAATTAAAAAAGGTACGATATAGAGGGCTGAATTGCCCGAGTGGGTGGAACGGGAATTTACCCGCTTCGAATTACTAGACTCCTAATCGCTTTACGACTATCACAGTCTATTATTTATGCGACAAAAGAACGAAAAATTAACGGTTTATACGAGATAGTCCGGAGAACATTCGCACGAGAATTTTCACATTACGCATTCGTCCGGTGCGATTTGCCGCGGAATGAGCCGCTACTGGATTATCATCTCGATCTTATCAGGCACGAAAAGTGTGCTGCCTGCCTTTCGCGCGCATCCTCGTCCGTCTCGTTAGATGCTCGAAGCACGGATAATTCGAATTTTTGTCTAATAAGTCTCGGTGATGCTCGTGAGAAGAAGGAGGAGAAGGAGGAGGAGGCTCTTAGCGGATCGTGTCGGGCACCGAGACACCATGAGGTTCGCTCCAGCTCGGAGCGAGGTCGTAAGAACGGAGCACCGGCACATCCGCGGCCTCACTCAAAAGTGAAACTCCCTTTCGTTTTTCCCGTTGGTCGGCCGCGACGACGACCTCTCGCTTCCAAGACCCCACGGCCCGAGAACTCCATGCCCGCCGATTCGGTACGTCTCGCTCCTGCCACGGGACTCGAGCGCCGCCCGTTCAGTTACTCCCCGGCTGTATATGAGAGCTCCCACTCCATCGGCAGAGTGAACAACACTCGATCCGTGAGAGTGGCAATAAGCTCGCGTAAACAGACGCCGGGATGTTTAAGAGGAGCCGAGCTCCCTCGTAAATAACGGCGGCACGGACATGGCGACGGGCACTTTCACCTGCACGGATAAGCGGGCAGCGAGCGATAGGGGCCTTTCTCGAGCGGGACGCCGCTTCTCTACGTTCCTCGGCCTCTTATCAAGTAAAAGTGATATCCCCGGCATCGTTCGTAATTATCACGGAGGCGGCTCAGGCGAGGCGGCTCAGGCACCTCGGCCTTGGGAGCGCTCGTTTCACGGGAAACCTCGCGTTCCATATTTGAGCTCGATATGCCATCGGGCCCACGGCCTTTGCCAACCAAATTGACGCACATGCCAATTGACATAGTATAAATAGCCATTCGCTCGAGCGGGAAAAATATTTGTTTAGTGGCGGCTTAGCGTCGAGCGACGTCTCTCCTGCCCGGCGAGTTCCGTTATCGGGCGAGATTCCACCTCCGCTCGAAGGAGTCTCAGGTTCGCGAGCGAGGGACGCGAGGCCCAACCGGCACGTGGCACGTGAATATCGCTACTCAGCGCTAATAATCCGTCTGTTTGTTCGTTTTGCATGCAGGAGGCAGCAGCGCACAGCGAGAGACGGGGGCTTGTTCCGAGCGAGGACAATGCTGTAGACGATCGTGCAGATGAGGACGATGGTGATTGTGAGCGTCGTCGGCGAGACTCGCCAATAGAGGACTTGCTCCGGGTCAACCTATTGCCTCCCCCACCCCCACCAAACTCTCACTCACTCATTCACTCTCACTTTCTCTCTTTTTTCTTTCTCTTTCTCTCTCTCTCTCTCTCTCTCTCTCTCTCTCTCTCTCTCTCTCTCTCTCTCTCTCTCTCTCTCTCTCTCTCTCTCTCTCTCTCTCTCTCTCTCTTTCTCTCTCCCTCCCTCACTCACTCACTCACTCACTCTCTCACTCACTCACTCACTCACTCTCTCGCTCACTCACTCTCACACTATCTCTCTATCTCTGTGTCTCCGACTCACTCACTCACTCACTCACTCACTCACTCACTCACTCACTCACTCCCACTTTTCTCTCTACCCTTCTCCACCCTTCTCTACCCACCACCCGCCACCCTCCATCCTCCGCCCGTCGCCCTCTCCTTCCCCCTCCGCCACCGTACTTTCCCACCCTCGTTCTGTTCCCGTCCACGCGACCGCACGAGCCATTCGCCCGGGGGAGGCTGCACTGGCGTTTACATTGATGGCGGATCATCGACGCGAGAAAAATGTAAGCAAACGGTAGCTTCTCTTTACTCTCTTTGGCCTCGGTCGCAAGGCTCCTTGGACGGCTTTTCCGTCTTCCCACAAGCGCACGAGCGTGAACATTGCCGTGCCTTCAACGGCCTTTAAAGGTCTTTTCTACACTCGGCAGTCAAAGGATATTTTTCTTTCTTTTTCTTTTTTTTGTTTTGTTTTTGTTTTTAAGGCTGACTCGAGCTTCTACCTACGGTCAAGTCGTTATTTACAGTTCAAGCGTTTAATTGGCGTTGGTCGGTGGTTTAGGAGGACACAAGCACTATTTAGTAGGAGTTATTAAATAAGCTCGATCATCCGATAAGACATTTTGGAGAACGTTCGCCGGCTTATTTATTATTAGCCTCGTACATCCTCCGTATATTGGTGAAATGTCACATTGAATTGCGGCGTTAAAGGTATTTTTTTCTTCTTCTTTATTTTCAATTATTTTATGGAAGGTAATTTTCCCTTGCTAAATCGATCGTAACTTTATCGAGATTGAAAACGTTATAAAATGTCCTCGATTGTGTGAATTTTACTTTAGAATTATATGTAGATATATATAGCTTAATTTGCAAGACAGTGCGTCAACAATTCCTATCTCCGCCTTATTTCTCGAATAAATCGTATGCAAAAGCGTGCACAACTAATGTCACAGCGTATATATATATATATATATATATATATATATATTTTTTTTTTCTCATGCTTGATGTTTCTCGTCGGTTCAATTTATTTAATGAAAATTGCATCGATAAAACTATTTTCTAGCATGAGGAATATGGATAATGAGAAAGTTAAAAATACTGACTATCTTGCGTAACGAGAAATGCATGTGAATATGTAGGCGTTCATGTTTTTGCAAATTATTAATAAGAACTTTAGTTTCAACAACACATAATGTATTAGTCTAAAATCATTGGGCCGTAATAAGAAAATAATTTTTTTTAACAATCATTTATGAAGAACGGCATTGATAATCGAATTTAGTCAAATTCAATATTACTTTGTATAATACGTAGAAACGAGACATATATATATATATATATATATATATATATTTATATATATATATTTATATATATATATATAAAATTACGTAAAGTGGCTAATTAAAAACCCTTATTATCGCTATTAATTCCAAAAGAGTCTTACATTTTTGTATAAAATTGATTTAGATGAAAAATCTCTAATTTTGCTTCATATCGTTATTGATAGGTGGCTAATTTTATCCCCAAATTCCAAACGAATAAAGTAAATATTATTTCTAAAACTCTAGACGCAACAAGCATTATTTGAATTTTTTTATGTGTTATTGCTTATTGATTTTCAAATTAATGTCTCGCGGACGTTTAGCTTATCTATTTCATTTAATAGTCTTATTTGTATAATTTATAAACCTAAATAAAATAGAAATTAATGGAAAAATAATATTTGATTGCGTTAAATAAAATTGAGTTATCAATTGCGAAATAGACTGAGAAGTGTATGTTTTTATATGCGCTTTGTGTACATGTGTGCCCGCGTACACGAAGGCCTGTGCGCATGCGGGTGTATACGTATGGTTATTTCTCATTGGGTGGGTGTTGGTGAAGACAGGTGGACGGGTGGGTGGGCGTGATGGATGGAAGTATGGGGCTCGATGCCTGGATATCGAGTGGTCGATCGTATTAGCTGGAATAAGCGTTGAGAAAGAAATTAACGCAAATTTAACGTATGTCCTTGCTAATGCGTATTCATTGATCTAATATTTAGGAAGGAATTTTAACAGAAAAATTGTTATATTGCATATTTGAGCAAGAAATTTATTTCAATGCAAATATTATATTACAATACTATGATATACAGTGAAAAACGTAACCATCTCAATGTGCAAGAAAATATTTCATATTAAATTACTAATGATTAGTGTATTATTTTGACGTGTAATAATAATGCCGATGGTTATAGATCCGACCGATAAGTATTATTAATAAATATAAAGCATTTGTTATCAAAGCCTCGTTATAAATATGTACGTCTCAGTTATGAAACACAAAATATTTTTAATTTGCTTCAAAAGTTTAGTCTCTTTTAGTATTCCATGTATTGTGCGGACAATACAATATTATACTTTAAGAAAGCTTATCCGCTGTGTTTATTAGACAAGAAAATTTTTCCTTTCATAAACGAAATAAATTTAGACTTGGTTTTCATTATTCATCAGCGCATTCTTACTTAAATCTTTCATTATCTGACTACTCACTGACAAAATGTCCTAAATTCTCCAAGAAGATAAAGCCCCTATTTACGTACGTTTATTCCGAAGTTTCGTTCTTTTTTATTTTCTTCGAAGCGACGTGTCGAGGCGTACCGATCAAAAAAATTTTCACCCAAGATTAATTTAATACGCGCGTTACACATCACTCGCACTTCATTCGAACTTTATCGTTGATACGAAAGATTTCCATAATTGATAATTCCTCACTTTGTTTCGTATCTACTCGGCCTCCTACTACTTGGCTTTCCTCGATATTATTCCTCCCACAATGCTCCCCCAGTAACGCAGGCCTCCGTATCAGCCTCCGCATTAATCATCTATGCATCGACATTCTCGCGAACTTTCGAAAGGAGCGCAACAGTAATATTTGTTTGCCATCTTTATTTATTCGGTAAAAAAGACAGGAACTTCAGTTTTGTGGACATATTCACGATAATACGCGGATCGCCTCGAGAGAATCAATTCGCACATTAATAACTTTCGGTTAATGCATACGCTTGGAAATGCCAGAGCAGATCTCCATTCTTCTCCCCCTTCCCCATCCCAACCCCCAACCCACGGCTTATATACATTTGATAATGGACCCCAGGAAATAGTTTGAGTACGCCACTCGCAGCGCCCATTAATGCTTTTAATAGTCGTCGGCTTTCTCTATTCCGCCGCAGCCACAGCGACTTTCCGTCTACGGCGCCTGTTCGAGACGAACGACTCGTGTAAAAGTGTCACTGCGACTTTCGCTACGATTTTCCGCGTCACGGCCTATCGAGCAGTCGCATTCGGTTTCACTTCCGCGTCGCCGTCCCGGGTAAACCGGAAGCGGTCATCCCCATGTGCCACTGGCTTTTTCCCACCGAATCCTGGCTGCGGACGCCGCGGTCGGTCTATCAGGCCTGAATTAGCATTTGTAATTGTCGAGGCGGGCCGAGCCTAATTTCAATGCGGGCGCGGGTCCGCTGCCGTGGTTCCTGATATTACATTTTCGCGCGATAATATTATCCGGATCCTGCGTCGAAACCTGCTTTACTTCCGTTGTTTTTCAACTAGGATTCGAGGCTCACAAGCAGGGCTTACGATGCTCGATGCTGAAGCCGCTTTATATCGTAAATAGTTGATATGTCCGGCGCTTATTGATTCACACGTACGTAATAAAGCAAATCACGCTGTTTAATTTTTTATAATACGATAAGGGTAAATTTTGTAATGGACGTTGTTCTCGAATATAATAATAATTTACGATACGAAAAGATTTAGTGTAATCCAAACGCGTATGGTAGTATTGCCAAAAGTAAATAAAACTTTATACTTTTAATATTAATCGAGATAATGCTATCGTCGGAGTAAAATTTTGAATTTCGTTCGTTTCCATTTATCATTACGTGCCCAATACGGTGACGTTTAATTTTGTAATAATATCTCTACCTTCTTACGACGAATAATGTTTTCTAATGAAAAACAAAAAAAAAAAAAACAAAAAAAAACAAAAAAAAAAAACAAACAAAAAAAATAACTGGCCACGACGAAAAATATTTGAATTATTAATTGTAATTAGTAATAGTATGATGACGGAAGCGATGCAAATGTTAATTAATTTTATCGCGATTAACGCTTATCATTTCTGCAGAACGTACCACATGGACGGATGATGAGTATCGGTGTTGTTAGAACGGCCGAGTAATGGAAAATAAAAAAAAGCACGCGTACGTTTACAATATTTCTACGAAAATCTTACAATTCATATGGCATTAGCAACGTCCATCAAACGTTACGAGTTACACAAGAAATTTTGTACTCCCGTGTTTCCTAATCATTTTACATAATTGAAAATTTGCAAACACTGTATCGTTAAAGTAAAGTAAAAATGGCCGAAGAGCTTACGTAACTCTCATACGTTTACCATTAAAATATGCATAAAATAAAAAAGTAACGATTAAAGCATACAGGATCCTGCGTGCGTTTCATTCGCGCTACATAATTAAATTCACAGTCCGTCGGTAATATTGATTTAATCTACTTACTTAGCAATTTTACAATTTTCATGCCAATAATGAGTATGAGCGCGTGTAATAATGAGGAAGAAAGCGCGCACGCATTTATTGGAAGGGAAATCGTTATTCCGTGTTTGGCCAGTCTATTTGGAGTGGGAAATATTTGAGGAGAAACATATGGTCGAATGTTGCCACAGGCTGATGCCACGCGTTCGTGTCTTTGAAATCCGCGTCGAAGAGGAAGAAAAGCGATACCGCGGAACAAATGTACGATCGCTCGGAAAAGTTAGATTAGTTCGAAAAGTTTTTCGTTTGCGCAACGGTCGTAATTACGCTTAATGACAAGGCTATGTACGACAGGCCGGAGAAGAAAGGAGTGGGCATGACATTCCATCATTATATCCTTATTATATGGAGAACGTACGTGCATTCTTTGGATCGAGTGAATTTACATTCATACATTGACCGTAAGCGTTAAACAAGTCCCGCTGGCCTCGATTTTACCAGTCCAACAACGCTCTTCTTCTCCCTTCTTCACCCTAACTTATATCCATTAAATAGTCCGCAACAGGATTTCATCCGTATAACCGTAAGAATAGATCGTGCAACATTGCCTTTAAAAATTCTTCTTTCCAATTTTACCATCCACTTATGTATATTGTTATATTTTTAGTAAAAATTTTCTTCGCTTAGATCGGATATCTGCCACAATTTCTAGTGTTGCACAGTGTGGCATCGCGTTTACCG